ATATATATATATATATATATATATATCTCAGAGCAGAAGTAGGATCACAGGAAGAAATATGAGCGAAGTCAGACCATCTGGCAAACCCCTCAAACCCAGACTCCACACTGTCCTATTAAATGGCATATTTAGACATGAATCTGTGCGGACTCTATACAGATAATCTTAAAAATGCCTCAGTGTCTGTAGCAGAACTCACTCATACCTGATGAATACTAATATTACCTAAAAGCTCAACAATATACAGGAAGTGCCCAAGCTGGATGTAATGAGTAAGAAAGGCAATGTGTTTCTCAAGGTTTAAGAATCTTGCCCCATATTCTAGGTCTTTGCCAGGTTTTGAGCTGCAAGGGAAGGCTAATAATCAGATTTGGAGGTAACAGGCCTCAGGCATGCAGCTCCTCCATCTCGCCTTAGGCTGCCTTCAGAAGGGACCCAGCCCCCAGCTGGGGTGTGCTGTCACCAGAAGAGCTTACTTTGAAGAAGAAACTTAGGTTTCTTGTCTTCCTTGGCTCCCATTTTCCATCACGTGGAACATACTGGTAGCATAACTACCAGTGCCCTTGTTTACCTACCACACAGAAACTATAACTTTGCTGAGACAAAGTTTAACTGAAAGTCTTGGCAAAAAAGGGGACAGTCTGTAGAACACCCAAGGAGCCATACTTGGGGAAAACCGCTTAGCAAATGGCTGCCTTTGGTGAAAGCCTCGAGTGTAATTCTGGAAGGAGATTCAAAGTTCACACACTGACGCTCGCTTCTCGTATACTCCCTCCACCTCGGATATGGGTAAGTGGGGTGAGGAAAGAGCGGTCTGGACGCTCCCGGCAGGGGAATAGAACTCTAAGGTTCCATTCTGGGGAGACAGGCAGCTGGCCCAGGGGTGAAAAGGAGAAGGGTGGGCGGGCAGCAGTGAGGAAAAGAATGACGGCAGAGACCGGCAGGGCTGGAGAGGAGAGAGGAGGTCAGAACCAGAAAAGAGAAGGCTCGTGAGTAAAAGGGTGGAGGGCCAGGGCTAGGCCAGACCGTGCGAAGTGAGGGCTGGGGGCGGAAGTGAGGGCTGGGGACTGAAGGGAGGGGTGGGGACGCGAAAGGGCCGCACAGGGCGGCGGGAACACGCGCTCGGACAAGTAGGCAGTCCCACTCGAGGGCGGATCGGTCAATGGACGACAAGGGTTCGATTCCCAGAGTCTTGGTTCTCGGCGCCACCCTCACTCGCCTGCAGGATCCGGGCTCGCGCCGCTGCCGCTGCCACCAACACTGCCATGGTACCTCGCCGCTCCCCTCGGTTCCCGGGACCTCGGTCGCCCGCTGCTCTTAGCACCGCAGCCAGGCCGCACCCTGCCTCCTCCTGAGCCTTCTCATTGGTGGAGAGGACTGTTTTCTCTAGCCAATCACGCCTCTGAAAGCATGACTCTGCCCACTCACTCCCTTCCTGGGGCACATGTGATTGATCAAGCTCCCTCGTCCTTCCTGTCTCAGCCATTTCTGTGGGCGGAGTTGGAGGAGACACCCCCTAACCCGGAACTCCTATTGGCCACAGATACAACCGAGGCCACACCCCCTCACCGAGCAAAGTAAATAAGACTTTCAAAGCCCGGCAGTCGCTCCACCTTAACTACGGGAGGGGGCGTGGCTTCAACTATGGGCGTGGCTAGGCAAAGCTCGACCTATGGGGCGGGGAAATGGGCCGGAACGAACTGGGGATTGGGTTTCTCTTGGGGGCGTGGCCTGTGGGTTCTCGTTTCCCGCCGACGGTTGGTCACGTCACGTGACATGGGGTTGAAGATGGCGTCTCCCACGGAGGGTAAGAGCGGGCTTAGGGATTCTTCGCCTGCAGCTTCCTCTATTCCCCTGGGGACGTCCACGCTCTGTCCGCCCTCGAATTTAGGTTTCTCTCTTGGCCTCCTCTTCTTTTCCTTTTACCTCTTTTCCTTGGGATCCGTCCGTGTCCTAAGCTCAGCCGTTCTTCACGGCCCCACCATCGATACCTGACTCTCGGTCCCGGACCACTGGGTGGAGCGCCGGAGAGAACGCATTCTGGACCGGGAACAGGGTCGTGCTGGCTCTGTCTTAGCCCTATTAGAGTGAGGCTCGGAATCGAGGAGGAGACACTGCTCAGGAAGGGAGTTGCCTCGTGTAGCTCTCCCTCCCGGACGGCCGGCTGGAGAGCTGGTTCTCTTCCCTTGGAGCGCACGGGTGGACGATTCTTTGCCGCCCCGCCTGAGTGGCGGCGGGCCCCGTCTCGGGAATGAACAGCGAGAGAAACATGACTCCCTCCTGTTCCTCAGTGTGGAGCCGTCGCCCTGGCAGCAGCATGAGGAACCGGGACCTCCTCTACCCCTCGGAAAATGAGTCCTAGGGAAAATGAGAATTGTGCAGCCTTTCACAGCCTTCCACCGTCTTCTTTTCTTTCTTTCTTTTTTTGGAGGGGGACGGGGGCCAGGGTTTTGGTGTTGCCCAGATCTCAAATGTATGGGCTCAAGCGATCCTCCCGCCTTGGCATCCCAGAACTCTGGGATTACAGGCGTCAGCCACCGAGCACGGTCTCTTGCATCTGTTTAACGTGTTGTTTCCTCAGACAGAGTGAATGGACAATGAACCATGTCTGTTTATATGTTGTGCAAAGTGCCAGTCATCTCAAGTAGCAATGAGATGGTTTTGGAATACTCACATGCTTTTGCGCTGGTTCTGCTTTGGAGGGCTAGGGTCATTTTGCCGTCATTTTTGAACTCCGTTTTTGCTTCTACCGTCCCCATCTTTACGACGATTTCACTGATGAGTAGTTTCTCCTCCTGAAACACATTTTGTGTTTGGAAGGAATCTTGAGAGTTCATTGCTGGAATAAGGAAATTGATTCCCAGGAGAGCTATATTAAATACCTTCAATATTAAAGGCATAATGCTTAGGTGCTTTGGGAGACCGAAAGATGAATCAAACATGTAAACATTTTTTTCAGTTCTCATTTTAGATGTCGCCTCCCAAAGACGCTTTTTTTTTTTTGAGTTGGTTTCTCACTCTGTCGCCCAGGCTGGAGTGTAGTGGCACACTCACGACCACCCCAGCGTCGACCTGCTGGACTCCGGCGATCCATCTGCTTCAGCCTTCCAAGTAGCCGGAACTACAGGTGCACGCTACCGCGACTGGCTAATTTTTGATTGATTGTAGAGACGAGGTCTCACCAAGTTGCCCGCGCTGGTCTCGAACCTGCTGGCTCCCCAAAGTGCTGGGATTACAGGCTGAACCACCGAGCCTGGCCAAGACACTTTCTCATACGCAGTATGAATAGCCTCTCTCCACCATCATTTACTCAGTGTCTTCACTGTCCACATAGCTACTGTTAATTTTGCCCCTTTTATGCTAGATTATAAACCACAATTGGTCTTGTTCATAGTTAGATCCCAGGATTTAGCACAGTGCCTGGCAGTAGACCTTCAATGAACATTTATTGAAAGAATGATTAGATTTATGCAGAAAGGATATATTACTTGATCTTGAGCTTTAAGTTTAACTGAATCTTAAGTTTTTTTGAGCATAGGTACATGATGTATGAGAAATTCAGAGTCACAAGAGATTCTCCTGCCTTGGTGTTGTCTAAATAAAATGTACTTCTCTTGTCAGAAGAAAAGGAAATTTTAAAAAGTCAGCAAAGGGAATGGGGAGTTAATGCTTAACAAGTACAAAATTTCAGTGTGGGCAGGTGAAAAAATTCTGGAAGTGAATGTGGTGATGCACAATTTAATGTACTTAATGCCACTGAATGTACACTTAAAAACCCATTAAAATGTTAAATTTTATGTTGTGCATATTTCATCACAATAAAAAATCAGCCAAGTGATAGAAGTAGAGGTAACTGCTATTAAGATTTTTAGTTTAGCCGGGCTCGGTGGCTCAGCCTATAATCCCGCGCCTTTGGGAGGCTGAGGTGAGTGGATTGCCTGAGCCCGCGGATTCGAGACCCGCCTGGGCAGCGAGACCTCATCTCTACAATAAATCAAAAAATCAGCCGGGAGTGGTAGCACATGCCTGTATTTCTAGCTACTTGGAAGGCTGAGGCAGAAGGATCGCTGGAGCCCAGCAGGTCGAGGCTGCAGTGGCTGGGAGCGGCCATTGCACTCCAGTCTGGGCGACAAAGTAAGACTCCAACTCAAAAAAAAAAAAAAAAAGATTTTTAGTTTGTTCTTAGGTTGTTTTTATATTTATACATTTTGAAGATTTTAGAGGTATGTTTCTTGAGTTTGATTTTTCCATCTTCTCTCAATTTATTTTTCTTTCTTTGGCCAAGAAGTGTATTGAAAACATTGTATTTTTTTCCTTTGGCCGTCTAGTCATTTCTGTGGTCATTTTATTTGCTCTCTTGATTTTTAGACTTTTCATTCTTATTTCTTACAGGGTTTTACTTTTCACCTCATCTTTCCAATTTGGTGATTAAATTAACTCAAGCACTTTGAGTTTCAATATAGCAAATATTCCACTGCCTAGCTCTCACACTTCTATTTTTAGTGTTCCACCTGCCCCTGTCTTTTTTTTTTTTGAGTTGGAGTCTCACTCTGTCACCCATGCTGGAGGGCACTGGCACACTCCCAGCCACCACAGCCTCGACCTGCTGGGCTCAGGCGATCCTTCAGCCTCAGCCTTTCAAGTAGCTGGAACTACAGGCACACGCCACCATGCCTGGCTAATTTTTGATTTCTTGTAGAGATGAAGTCTCCCCAAGTTGCCCAGGCTGGTCTCGAGCCCCAGGGCTCAGGCAATCCTCTCACCTCGGCTTCCCAAAGTGCTGGGATTATAGGGGTGAGCCACCGCGCCCAGCCTTGCCCCTCTCTTTTAAATTTCATTCTAATAATGGTAATTTGGAAATAAGTTTAGGTCATTTACTCTTTTGTCTTTTTCTTTTTTTTTTTTTTTTTTAGAAATAGGGACTTGCTCTATTGCACAGGCTAGAGTGCGGTGACACAATCATGGCTCACTGCAGCCTCAGACTCCGGAATTTATGCGTTCCCCCTTGCCTTAGCCTCTAGAGTAGCTGGGACTACAGGCGTGTGCCACCACACCTTGCCTTTTTAATTTTTTTAGAGACAGGGGTCTCACTAAGTGGCCCATGCAGATCTTGAACTCCTGAGCTCAAGTAATGCTCCTACCTCAGCCTTGTGGGGGGGCACCAAAACAAACCAGAATTATTTTTTCGAGGACAGACCCCTTGTAGTATGGGCTCCCACCCCTCGCCTCAGGTAAGTGTTTCATGAACCTATTGGTAACAGTGTACCAGCTAGCATTGTGAGAGGTTGCATTTGGCTTCAGTGAATTTTTTTGGAGATTCTTTCAACACGTTTGCCCATTTCATGATGGGTGATTTATAGGTGCACCTACCCACACTGCACTGAGTGTTCAGCAGTTTTTGACCAAAAATGGAATGAACCCCGTGCCCCATCCTCACTATTTACCTGATCTTACTCTGAGGGACTTTTTTTGTGCTTCCGGATGAAAAATGTCCCCAAAGGGAAATGTTTTACCGATGTGGAAGAGGTGAAACCAAAAAACAACTGAAGCAGTAAAAGGCATCAAAATTGATGAGTTCGAAAACTGTTTTGAGCAGTAGAAAAAGAGTCTTGATATGTGTATTGCATCAAATGGAGAGTTCTTTGAAGGTGACTGAAGTTTAAACATGTATGAATAAGTACACAATTTTTTTTTTTTTGAGTTGGGGTCTCACTTGGTTGCCCAGACCGAAGTGCAGTGGCCGCTTCTGGCCACCGCAGCCTCGCCTGCTGGGCTCTGGCGATCCTTCTG